GTTTCTCCTATTGATGAAAGTAAAGATCATCGAGTATTACAATCTGCAATTTGGATGGAGTATTTTGAAGGTGGTTCCTTGAAGGTAAAGGGTAAATGTACCTTTTAAATAATTTATTGTAGTGGATTCTTATTTTAACCGATTCTTAGCATTTTGCATTTGTTCTTAACAGAATTACATAGAAAAATTATCGAAAAATGGAGAGAAGCATTTGCAGGTGGAGCTGGCGATGTTTATTGCAAGAGACATTGCCTGTGCTTTGTTCGAGCTGCACTCTAAGCATATCATTCACCGAGACATCAAAAGTGAAAACGTTTTGATCGATTTAGAGAATAAAAGATCTGATGGCACACCAGTTGTTAAGCTCTGTGATTTTGATAGAGCAGTACCTCTTCGATCATTAACACACACGTGTTGTATTGCTCATCATGGGATTCCTCCTCCTCGTTATTGTGTTGGAACAGCACGCTGGATGGCTCCGGAAGTTTTTCGGACAATGGACCCACACCACCATAAGGAGTATGGACTGGTAAGTTATGTTACTGTTTGATCTTACTATGAAACAGTTGATTGGTTTATACTAATTTTTAAACAGTTGATTGGTTGATTACCGTTTCGTCTAGTTTTTTATATTGAGCATGAACTTCTTTTTTGGGTTGAGTCTGCCACTTTCCTTATTTTCTTAACTCCCATTGAAAACAATATATCTGTATGTTCTGTTATGATGGAAATGATTTTGTATCGCTTCACCAGTTTGTGTGAAGACCCTGTTTAGGTGATTCATGCCCCTTAATAAGGCAATAGTCTTGAATCTCATATTAGGCATTGCTATAAACTGAGTATATAAGGTAGTGTTTATTTCTTTCAGATGATAAGTCACCTAAATGACCAAATATGTGTGGCTTATCTCAATCAGTTTATTTTTGTCATCACCAAATTTTTTTTACCTAAAACTATGTCTTCCGCTTGCTATTTTAGTCCCTGACTTTTTAAGATGCTCCTACTAACTAGTGTTGTCAGGTGTCTTTTTAGTATTTTCCTAAAGAAGATTAGTCTGTGTTTCGTGTGCCCTTTTTATTTATTTATTTATGCTATACAGGAATTCCTTTGGTTGTGCTCAGTTTAAGTCATTCAAAGCAAAGCTCAATGCTTATAGATGCTCTGGCTAGATCATTTTCTTTTAGGCAGTTTGTGTCTTGATTTCAAATAATATCACTTTTCGAAAAGCTAATGTTAGAAACTTCTCTAGTTTAATAAAATTCTCATCTCGGGGTGTAGATGGCACACTCTTCTAACTTATTGCCTTTCTGTTCCCAAGCAGCTCTTGGTACTACAAAAGTAAACACAAATTCTTGATGAAATCGCATTTTGTATACTTTCATCTATTTGCTTGACATATTTATTTATTTTGGTTTTGTTTTTATTTGTTGTCGTTGCAGGAAGTTGATATTTGGTCATACGGGTGCCTACTTCTGGAATTGCTCACATTGGAAATCCCTTATGCTGGACTATGTGATCCTGAAATCCATGAATTACTTCAGGTGATTGATTTTGTGAATTTCGTTCTTTAATTTAGTTCCTGTCATGGTTGATTACTTTAGTACTAGTCTTTATGTGTTTATAGCAGTTGTGATGTTCTTCCTGATGTTTATTTTGCCTCTTCCGTCATGATCATTTGCCTAAACCTAAATTTTAGTAGAAGCAAAAGATCAAAATGAGAAGCCACAATTATCAAGTTTTCAACCGAGGGAATATTTTTATTGCATTTATGAAGAAGAGAAAAGTTGCTTACATATGTATCTATCAAATGCAGTCGGGACAGAGGCCGCCACTGACAGATAAACTGGATGCGATAGCGTCATCGGGTGAACCTGCGTTGGTTGGACCTGAAGCCGAAACTGATAATTTAAGATTCCTTGTTGACCTTTACCACAAATGTACCCAAGGTAATCCACATGATCGTCCAACAGCAGCACATATTTATGACACTGTGAATACCCGGATGAACTCTATGAGTAGCTCAACGGAGTAGAAGAACCGGTCTCTCTCTCTCATTGTAGCGTAGTAGTTTATAAAGAGGTTTAATGTAACTAAGTTTCATTCAAATTTTGTAGCTTTCTAGTTTATGTCAGGTGTCTCATGAACTTATTCTCATTCGATTTATAGTGTATCTTTTGATTGTGCAACTTCCACGGTTACTCTTAACATAAATGAACAGTTGCTACGAGAATTGTGCACAGAATTTCTTGTTGCAACTTCTAACATTTTTTAGCATATTGAGGTTTGCTGGACTGAACCACAGTAACATAATTGAATCTTTGGCCGGTTGTGATATTGAAATTGTCTGAATGCCAGCCTTCTGTTCAATGATAAGGTTGGTTGAGTTTTTTCTTGTGTAAATAGTTTTGTGAACGAAATGAAAATTCAAGAGTTGAGTTTTGACAACAACATGAAGGGGTTTGGCACTCAGCTATAATCTATGTGTTCAGTCTGAACCTTTTCATGAACCACACTTGGCCCCCGCAAAACAATTGCTAGTAAGTAGCTCTCTGCACATCACTTATCTCAAATGGAACCACTTCAAGTCTTTATTTCTGTGGTGATTTAGGTTTTGGTCTTTCTTAAATGTGGTATTTTAGGTTATGGTGTATACTAATTGGTTTTTTAGATTTTGGTCCTATTTCCGTATATTGATTGTGTTAGTTGACCAAATATATTTCAACAATGTCTAAAGTACACCACATAAATGTAATTAAGTTTTGTTTGCAAATAGAAAAAAAAGTTTTATATGCTTAAATCTAATTAAGATTATTAAACGATAATTTAAATAAAAA